ACTGGGGAGTGGAGGTGTGGCTCCTCTATATCTCAGTGTCTTAGACATCTTTGTTAGGAGCTGGAATTCAATGGTAGATACCAAGAACACTGGGAAATTTGTAGAAAAGGCAATGATGAGATCTGACCTCTTAGTATACTCAAGGACACCTTCTGCCACAAAGTTCCAGGAGGGTACCAGGCAAGTGAGTCATCCAAGCTTACCTCTCGTGCAAATATCCGCTCCCTGGCCCGCTGATACTCTTCCTCTCGCTCTTCTATAGATTTGCTCCTTCTCCCATCCTGCAAGGGGAGTCTGATCTGAAGGGACAAACACATCTCAGCGGGTCAGCAGTTGCCAATGGGAGCAGGGGGCACAGTCAGCTGCTGATATTTTTACATAGCTGTGTAAGTGGATGTGGATTACAGGGTGTGTGCATGATGCCTGGATGCAATGACACAGCCTCTGCCTTTGAACCTACCTTCTGGACACCTGTGTCTACGGATAAACAATCCTGGAGGTCTTAGTGCACTCCACCTCCTGGATCAAGCACAACCACTCTGCCTGAACTCTGCCTGATTCAGAAAGGACCGATCAGGAATATCACCATGTGCTTCTGAAAGACAGTCTGTTCCCAGGGGTCAAAAGTTAAAGGCCACTCTCTGGAGCATATGCCAACACAGCAGACTCCTACTCAGTCATGGATTCTGTGCTTTGTGGGTAGCTGCGTCACCTGCAGAGTGCCACCACGGGGGAAACCAGAAACTGATACTGATTGCAATGACCAGCTCCCCATCCTGATGACTTAAGTTCAGAAACATGACCCAAAGCAAGGGATAATGGTATGCTGGGGCGATGTAAAGATGGGAGCTACAAGAGCAAAGAGCATGAGATCCCTGGTGAAGAGGTCCCTGTCTTTTGCGCTGTTTTTGACGTTCAAGATTCTGTCTGACACAGGCTGGGAAAACAGCCACAGATGAACAAGCTAGCTCTGCGTTACGGGTGTGGTGCCACTTGTGACAGCCCAAAGGCAGCCAGAGATTCAGGAGGGTTCTTAGCTCCAATGACTGGCAATGCTGCTGAGATCAAAGTGTTTCATTTTGCCGATGGTTTCCTTCCAGCAGCACTGCAAGTTCCTGATGACTTTACAGCTTGACTCGCTGCAAGCCCCAGGGAGGGGTGGGAGAGATGCTGGGCAACACTCAGCTCTGGGGCATTTCCAAGGAAACCTTAGCAAAAGGCTTCACCTTAAAGCCTGGCCCAGCCACCAGTCAATATTCAGGGTACAGAAAAATACCCCCCATAGAATCCACAGAAATTCTTCATGCGTTTCCACAGTATTTTGTAAAGCTTCCATGATATATCTAGATACTGCTGCTTGGGTGGGGTGGAAGCTTCTATTAAAGAAGGTTACTGCAGGAAACCCAAGAGAAATTTAGAGTTGTTCTCATCTTAGAAAAGTTGCATTTGACTTTCACAATGTAGGCAGATAACCCACTGCCACCCCTTACCTGATTATCATCTCGGTCCATGCTGGTATCATCTCGCTTTAGGATAAACCTCTGCGGGAACTCTGCATTCTTCTCATCTTTGATGTGCTCAGAGAACCTCTGCTCAGGGCTGCAGGAAGAACCAGCCCTTGTTAGAAGGGCAAAAATGGGCATAGAACTGTCTTCATAAAACCACTGCTTTGCAGGGAGCGAGGGGGTGTGCAAAGATGTTTGTTGTGTTAAATCTCTCCTCTGTCTGATGGCAACAAGTGCTCCTGCCCCTTCTCCGAGAACTAAAGAGAGCTAGGAGGGGCTTGCAAATACATACACTTAGGACTGGAAGTGAAGGATTCTTCTCTTCTAGAGAGGGGACCTGCCCTTCTTATGGAGGCAAAAAAATGTGGTGTGGAATCCATCCTGCTCTGGACCATGCCAGGGCTCTGTGTCTGGGGGGTCATGTAGCACCATGCAGGGAAAGGAAGGGGATGCCGGCCCAGCTGTTCTCCCTCCCTCCGCCTTACATTCGTGTGTTACTGGTCTTGTTGATAATGACTGCCTTCCCGGTTTGGTCGACGTTATGGTCCATGCCGAAGTAGGCAGCTACCCGGTGCAGGAGCATCCTGTGGTATGAGGTCATCTGAGGGAACTTCTTAAACTGATTGCTGAGAAGAGGGGAGAAAGCATTAGAATTTAGAAGGCCTTGAAACAGACAATGATAACCTGACACCAAAAGAGAGATCAAGGCCAGAGATGCCTTAACCAGATCGCAGATCAGACCATGCCACCTATTCCAAGCAGTCAGGACTCAAGTGCTGCTTCTTACACTGAGCGTGAGCATGGGCTTACACTCCTTTGCCAGACAGAGCTGGGCTGATTCAAGGGCTGAAGTTGAATAGGCCTTTCCTGAAACAAGACTAGCTTGTGCACAAATGCACAATGTACAAGAGAACAGGCCTCCTCACCAGTGTGTCCAAAAGACACTCCCTTCTCCCCTGGGTGCCCAAGCTCCTAAATGGTAAATTACAGACCTATTTTGGTTGACACAACCTTGATGATCACTTACTTGTTATCACTAATAAATTCCAGAATCTCCTGTTCTAACTTTAGTAGCATCATTCTATCTCTGTCAAGAAAAGAAAAAGGAAAAGGCCACCTTTAGAGACAGTGAGGCACAGGTTTCTCTGCTTGGTACCCCCCTCCCTGCAACAGAGAAAAGTCACAAATACCTAGAGCAAGCAACACTATTACCCAGGCTTCACACATCCTCCACAGGAACGAACTAAAAAAACTCCACATTTTTTCATATATAGTAAATTAATTGCCAGATTTTTTTTAGTTTAAAGTTGTTGTTTTGCTAACAGTGCTTGGCTTTTGGTAATATTGAATCTCTGCTCTGCTGGAAGCTCCACTGGTAAAGACTCCAGCTTTGCTATTCCTATGCCAGCATTTGGCTTGATTACACTTATTACTGACACAGCAGCGGTTCCTCTAGAGGTTGGTATTTGACTATCATTTATAGAAAGGGTTTTAAAGCAATCGAGATTCCTTCCTGCTTCCATTCAAGCAAATTATTTTTCCTCTTTCTCTCTCTCCATAATATACAATTACATGTTTTGATGGACTGCAGTATATAAAATTACAGTTGTGCTTTTTGTGTCTACACTGCCCCGGCTCTAGTAAAGCTCTCTGAATTCCAAAAAGTAAAACACACTTTCAGATAATTTCTGTAGTTCCTCCCTCCTCCTAAGATATGTGAATACATACAGACATGTACACACATGCACACAAACACCACAGGTTCAAGAGTCAACCAAAGAAGCATTGGTTGCCAGGTACTCCCTCCCTTCACTCCATCAGCAAGTTGTTTTACTGACTAGAGACCTACCGTGGGTTTTTTTTCAGTGTATTTACTAAAAATTCATGCAAATCTATTCCAGTGGAGTCTGTATATTCCTGGCTGGAATCTGAAACAACAACAGCAGCAGAACAAATTAACAAAACACTGAAACAGAATAGACTGAAGGGAGGAGGTGTGTGTCTCACTACACGCATGAGGATGATGTCCCCACATTGCTGCCAGAGGAAATTCAGCCTCGTTCTCAGCACCGACTATTCACAACAGGAAGAGAGGAAGAAAAGCCCACCTTGTTACAGAACTGCACAGGTTGGGACCCATATCACCTGGGCTCAAGTCCAGTTTCTAGCACAGGCTCTGAATGCAACCTCTAGGTCAAGTTTGCCAATCTGTAAAACAGGGACTGTACACCCTTTCACCAGTGGGCAGCAGGAGGATCGGTACGCTACATACAAGGCACTATGAGCACAAGGCCCCATTAGGAGGACGCCACAGAGAGGGAGATCAGATCAGTTCATGGAAGGAAACCTTGGCTCTAAAACCAACCACTCAGAGCACACTCAGCATATTCCACGCTGTTACAGGAGGCCTCTGCAAGTGTAGTATACCGTACTTTTGTACAAGCAACTTCTGCACCTTTGATCCCACAAGCTATTTAACTGGAAAGCCCTGCTGGCCATGTTCTTCCCCTCTCCCCACACCCTTTTTAATTTAAAAGTAATCACAGAAAAAACAGTAAGTGAAACTGAATCCGCACCAGCGCAGAGTTGCTGTCTGTACAAGGATTTCAGGTGCATTTTGCTTACCACATTAAATGTGTATCTTTTAGCCACTTCTATGCCCCAAAATCATACACACAGGATCATACAGCAGAGACTTAGCTCACCTCCTTGCAACCTCATATCTTGCCACCTGTGGCAGGTTTCATAAAATCAAATCTAAACCGAAAGCAAAAGTCTATACAGTGGGTCTTCTTGGGTTTGCGTCCGCACATTTAAAAAGCCACCAGATCACTATAATCTATGCAGGAAGCCTGCAAGTCTGTTGGGGCACATGTCAATCTAGAGAAACCCTCCCCCTCCCTCCGCATGCTTTGCTCCAGAAAGGATGTTCTAAAAACAATACATTCCTGTACAGTCATCAGCAGAGATAACCACTCTGCTTCCAACAACTGTACCACTGGCCAGCAGAATCCTCAAGGTGGGTAAGACAGGACTTGCCCTGTTCAAACGAGCACCTGACCTCGAGACAGCATTTTCCTTGGTGCCTTTTCTTTATTCTTGTCTTTTTCTTCTTTCTCAGCCCCATCTTTTGTAGACTTTTCCTCTTCCTTGTCAGAGGGGCAGCTAACGTGCAACTGAATGATGTCCTGGAACAAAACAAACCAGGTTGGTCTGAGTCACTTGGACACTCCTTGGAATCACTGTCACAGCTGGAGACGTTGGCAGCTGAGAAAGGCATCATGGAAAGGCAGGGGATTCAGGTCGCAGATCTGAGACATTTCATAAGAGGCCCTGTTCTGAGAGCAAACGAAGCAGTCTCTCTCCCCACCCGCCTCCCAACGAGAAGCCTTCAGCAGGCTTTGAGGGGACCCTCAACGGCATTTATCACTGTTGAAAACCTGCCTTGCCTGGATCACCTCAGAATCTAAGTCACATGCTTCCCTGTTCGAAGCTGATAAAATGCTGTTACGTTTTGGACTCAGGAGTGCCTAAGGTGAGGTAGGTCCCGCAACTGTTTCAGTAAGACTCTACCATCTAACCTGGAAAGAGAAAGGGCATGAGGAGAAGATGGAATAAACAGCAAAAAGCTTATGTGGTGTGATGAGTGGTCCCTGTGCCACATGAGGCTTTCTGATGCTTCTTTTCACCTCCTCTCTCGAGTTGCAACTGCCCAGCACGGCCTGAGGATCCACTCTGCGCCATGGGACGAAATGTTAAACACCAGTAGGATTGTCAAAGGCAATGTGCTCAAAGTCAAGTTAAAACTGACTATAAAACCACTACGCATTGTGCCAGCTGATCCTTCCTCGTCCTTCTGCCTTTACGCTAGTGTGGTTCCATGGCGCCATGATGCATGCTCACAGTCGCTTTAGAAGTCCTCCTAGTGACCCCACAGTTCTAAGTGAAACCCAAACAAAAGACAGAAAAGCAGCCTCTGGAGCTGGGAGCCTCAACACAAGGAAGGCTTAGAGGCCAAGTACCCCATTCCACCACAAGGGTGAGGTGCTCTGGGTAGCACTCAGCCCTGCCACAGGCCAGGTTTGTCCTTATCAATGGAAAGTAGCCTAGAGGTCTCCGATCTAGCACCACAGACCTAAGCTGGTGACTCTGCACGGTGAGGTACTACGTCAGTTCAACAAAGATGGGCTGTAGCTAGCCACAACCTGACTTACGGTGAGCCAGCTCAGATCTCCGCACACTGCACCATCCTGTGCTTCTTAAAGCTCGTGTGAGCAGAGAAAGCTCAACCCATCTGCTCTTGCCGGGGCAGACAGGTTCTCAGCACCTCCCTGACTGCTGCCCACCTTCAAGCTCCAGCTTCTCTGTCACTGCCCACAGTGACCACAGACGGGGATCATCTCTGCAGAGCACTGCATATCTCTTCTCTGTGAGCTGGCTGCTTTCAGTCACTGCAGCCTGAGCTGCAAGGAAAGGGCTTGCATAAAAACTTCCTTCCCATGGCCAAAACCCCAGGGGCTTTGTGAAGGCAAAGTGCCATTCCATTTTCGGGGGAATAAGCCTGCACAACTTGAGTAGTTGTGGGTGCCCCGTGAGTTGATGCAGACAATTCCTTGTAAGAGAAGGGTTGTGACTGTACACATACAAGCAGTGCTCACAGGCACAACCACTTCCTTCAAAAGCAGCCTCTTGTGGGAAATTCTTGTCTCTCAGAGGCACAAGCCCAGGACAGGACATCACTTCTAGCCAGACGTGGATTTTCTGGGCTTCCACACTCCACAGCTTGTCTCATTCTAGGCCTACCTGGGACTCCAGCAGCCCATCTACAAAGGGGCTAGACGATTCTTCACATACAGCCAAACTCCTGACCAGTTTAAGCTTTGAATTAGACTGGAGAAGGAAAAGAAAGAGTATAGTTAAGACACCTTAGCCAAAATGCACACACTTAAGTTCATGCTGCTGCGTTACCAAGCCACTCATGCAGTCATTGTTAATTAAACTGCTAAAAAGGAGGACTATCAAACCAGCTTCTTGCAGCAAACAGGAATATACAAAGGCTTGGAGTCATAGAGCAAATCAGTTATTTTCTTTGATCAGGATTTGAACCAACTAAATTTTAGGCGAGAAAGTTCACTGCCTTAATTCATGCACTCTTTGACCTCTTCAGCCAGAGCAATTCTAGCCTCTCCCCTCCTCACCTGGCAAGAATGAAAACAATTAACAAAGGATATAGCTGAAACCAACTATTTTATTGTTTCTTAAGATGTGAAGATTGTTACTGTTCTTAATTGAAAAGCTGTTGTCCCATTTACACCTTGCCTGTCTGATCTGACGACTGGTTATTTTGGGTAATGTAGTAGTGCTTAGAGAAAATGCTTAAAATAAAACCTGCACTTTCAGGACTCTTGGCAAGTTGACTCACTAGGGTGACAAACAGGAAAAAAATATATCAACCAGTCACATGAGATTGCAGGCAGCACCAACAATATGGAGAAAGGCCTGAGGTGCGCACACACATTCTGCCCCAAGTATGGACAGGGCAGGAACTGGAATCACAGCCTGTTTGGGTACTGCACAGAGTCCTGGCTTTTAAGACCAAACAGAACCATTAGAATATTTTTTTTCTGAACCCTCTGTAGGTCATAAGCCGCACATCGCTTTCATACATTCATCAAAACAAACTCAGGCAGAACCCCTGTTACAAAGTTAACTGGTCTCCCCTCTCTCCCATGCCTCGGGGCAGAACCTGCCTTCATTTGGGTTTGAACTTTTGTGAAAGATTTAAAAAAAAAAAAAAAAAAAAAAAAAAAAAAAAAAAAAGAGGGTGGGGGAGAGACCTTCACCTTCCAAATCACAGTTTTAAAATCAAGCCCATGGCAACCTAGTCAGATGTCATAGCTGACCCTGTTTTGAGTAGGAGGCTGGACTAAACGAATCCTAGCTGGACTAGATGGACTCTTGAATTATGTTGTTTCTATAACTGCCAAGCCTGGAAAATTCATGGCCACTTTTGATAAACTGCTTCAGTAGTTATTATCAAATTTTGCAAAGAAAAACTGGGGTTAAGGCTAAGAAAGGTTTAAAAAAAAAAATAAAAATCACACAATGGCTGCATTTTTACCCCGAGATTTTGCCTACAAACAGCATTCTAGAACAGCCATGTCTAGGTGCTTATTACTAGCAAAAGTTTTGGATTCACTAACATGCATGTGCCATTGTTACGGGAGCAAATGTGGTATTCCCTGGAGAGAAAGGGCCTTACGTGAAACCAGACAGTTATACTTAACTCTGTTTTTTAACTGGAGGGTGTAACAGGCCAGTGCACTGCCCTGTCCCACCAGTGACACCTCTGAATTTCATTTCTGGCATTTTGGGCTCTGGGGAGAGGACAGGTGTGGCAGTTAATAGCAGCAAACAGTTCATTCATGGGTGTGTGTTAAAAAGGGGCACTCATGCTCCAGTGCATGCAAAGTTACTGTCCTGAACCATCACGTGCTGCACATTGCTTCTGGTGAGAGGAAAGACTTGAGTACCATCCTAAGGTTGGGATCACAACTCAGCTTAGAATGGCCAAAAGAAGAACGGGACATCAGAAGAGGTCATACCTTGGCTCTTTTTCTGGCATGTCCGTGACTTGAAGTTCGCCTCTGTGGAGAAAGGAAAGAGAAGGCAAGAAGCTTAATCTGAATGTGTACACTGTAAATGGTATTTGCTGTGCAAAGGAGCACAACACTGAGCGTGTAAAATGACTCTGAAGAAAATCTCCACCTGACAGCAATGGAAGCATGTGCAAATAGAAAGACCTGGAGAACTGTCCTGTCAGGCCCCAGGTGGGCAAAAGCTGCGTAAGAAACTTCACGTGGATCAGACCCAGTTCCTCTGTTTCTGAGAGAACCAGCACAACTGCGGGATCACAGGGCATACAGGCAGAAGTGCATAACACTTCTCAGTGGCAAAACTAGAAGTGTACCATCCCTGGGACACAAAGGGGATTCTAACACAGTGGATCTTGAGAGAGACACACTGCTGCTCTGATTTAAGAGGTCGTCTGTTATCCCTACCTTGTAAAAAAACCTTTCCCCATTCTACACTACAAAGTGACCAAAGTCAGGCTCTTTCTGAGCAACACTGGTGTCTGCCCATGCAGTGGTTGAACAAATCTGGCACCCGCTACCAGCTTTAAAAGCAGAAGCATTCAGCAGGTTGTTGAGGGTGGGCATCTCTTCAATCTCAACACTAAGCCAAAAGCACATGTGACAGGAGAGCAGAGTAGCGGGAATGAGTCCCAGCACCCTCCAGATGATGCTTGCACAGATTTTTTTTTTTCCTTGCTGAAATGAAATCCCCAAAAATTCACTTCCTATTTGGGCATTTTTAACAGCAGCAAAGGAATGGCCAAGGACCATTCCTGAAACCAAGCTCTCCCTGGGATGCCTTCACTTCACGTTAAGTCCTTAACTGATCCTTAGGTCAAAGAAAGGAATAAGATGGAGGCAACAGCCATGGGACTAAAACCTGGGGACTGAGCACAAGTGCCCCCAGGAACACACCAGTCTCATTTTCCCCTGGGCTCAAAGATTATTTAAATTATTTCACTCTGAGCAAAACAGATTCAGCTAAAGAGAAAGAGAGCAGCCTGTGAACAACACAGTCTGTACAGCATGGTGTCCCCTTGTGAGGTGGCAGCCCAGGCTTAGGCCCCTTTCAGAAGGGATAGCAACTAGCTTGTGTTTGCCAAGTATAAGGAGAGGGCCCAGCTCTGCAAGCTGGTAGAAGGGACTACCCACTTTGTCTGCACACTTACCTGAGATTCCTGGCGCACGCTGACCTCCTCCCCCCCATCCTTCTCCACCTCCTCCTTGCTTGGTGACCTGGATACATATTTGGTTTTGTTCACAGATTCCTCAACCACCTTTTTTTCAGACTCCTTCATTATTTCCAGAGACTCCTGTGTTGTGTTGCTGTTTGACATCTTCAGAGCCCTACAACGGAGCAATGGGCACCTGCCAGAAGAGGTGACAGAATGGGTAGAAGGGAGTCAGGGGGTGGAGAGAGTTTCTATCTGGCTGGAACACAAACTCTTGCACATATTGGTTGTAACTTCCTTGTAACTCATCTTGTGTACAAAGACCCCAAACCAAGCACTCCAATGACAGCCCACCCCTTGGATGCAGCCCCTTGCAGCACCTGGCTCAAGGGGACCTTGCAGGAGCTCCATGATTCTCACCAGCACTGTGGAGACACTAGCAAGGCTGAACAAAGCCTCTGAGATATACAGAGGTCCTCAGTGCAGGCATTCTGCCCTCTAACTTCTTTGATGTGAGGGAGAGACCGAGGGTAGTCCTAATGCTAGCAAACATCCAGAGACAGGGAATTCAGCAGGTGAAATAAACTCAAGCAGCCAGAGGAGTGTGCTCTGCCCCAGGACAAACAACAAAAAATCTGCAATTTTTCCCCAAATACCAGCCCAGTCCTTCTTGCAATTAGTCAAATCTTCAGTGAGAAAACAGCCTCGTACCCAAGACATTGCTCTGGTTCTTTCTGTGAAATAATGTAACCCCTGCTATCTTCTCTCTAGCTGCCTATGGTTAGATACTTCAGGAAAAGTGGGAGTCAAACAATAACAGTCAAATTACAGCTTAAGAAAAAAAAAAAAAAAAAAAAGCTTCCTGACAAAGATGTGTTTAATTGCTTCCTTTTGATTAGCAAGAACACAGGCAGCCCACAGAGCCCCTGAGACCACCTCTGAATTAGAACGGAATCTAGACAGGGCAGCAACATGTGCCTCAGTCTGCTGACAGTCTTAAACAGGAGCAATGAACATGTCACGTATCCATCCATTAAATTAAGTGTTAATTCCAAACCGATTGTCAGCCCTCTCAGCTAACTCAAAGCAGGCCTCTTTGAGCTTGAGTGAGGGCTAAACGAGCTTTTGTAGGGCTGCAGAGGGATTCTGGACACTGCCTGCACAGAACCCAATGTTTGTCCAATGACACATGAGGAGGCTGGATAAAGGCAGAAGAAAAGGAAGGCCCATTGAGACAAGTTTCCAAAAAGAAAAGGGGAAGCCAAAATTTGAGAGGCTCAAAAGGCATGGGCACTGGAAAACACAGCTAATGTTTAACAACTTGTTTTATTAATTACTTTGGCAGAACACGGCTGAGAGAGAGTCAGATCTCACAGAGATTTATCGACTTTTGGCTCTGCATGGGAACTGCTAATATTCATTAACTAATTCAACCTCATTCCCCTTTAATTTGTGGGGCTGCTGAACATAAAACATGCATTTGACTCTTATTGCAGCTACTGGAATCAGTTCCAGATATAAAAAGCAAGAGAGCGCAATCAACTGGTTCTAGTTCATGGATTCTTACAGGGATTTGCGACAAACTTGATAAGACATCCAGGGCAGATGCCCTATTGTGAATGAAAAACACTGTATGTTACAGGCAAACCCCTGTGGCAGGGCTGCTGCCAGAGAAACCACAGTACCATGCAGCAAGTGTGCCTGGGAGATGCCACCACTGCACTGGATCCAAGCAAGAGGATGGGACAGGATGCTTACTGACAAAAGGAGGAAGCTATGGTCACCTTAGCTTTCCTTCACACCTATCATTGCCTATTCTAGACTCACGATGAGGTTTCCCCCAGCAATAAGACTCACTGCTGTCAGTTCAGAGTCACAGATGGGAGAACCAGGAAAGGAAAAAGTTACTTAACTTGAGGCCTTCATGAGTAAGCAGCACCTTGAGATTGCGTGGGAAATACCCCTGTTGATCCCAGAAAATTCAGGGAAAAAGGGTGCAGGGAAAGCAAAAAAAGCTGGCACGGATGAAGCTGATAAGGCTGCACTGTCTGATTTATGCACAGGAACCAGTATGTTTCAAGACAGACACATGTATCCGTAGGAGATTGACTGTGGATGCTGTGGATTGATATAGGCAAGCGGATACATCCCAGCACTGTATGAAAACAAGGTATTGCTCACTAGAAAGGACTGCTGGAAGATCCCAGCCACTGTTCACGTGCGTTCATTCTGGAGCAGGAAGGCTACAATAAACCCACTGTTAATTCCATAAGCAACTTCCTATGTAGCACACCTGAAAGCGGTAAGACGAGGACACGAGGGGCCAGAAGGCTCTCTCTTCACCTGAGGGGCAATACTGAACACACATAACTGGACAAGGTCCCCATGGCCGCTGCAGTGCTGAGCCAGGCTCCTTCAGCCCAGCATCGTTACACTGTACCAAGGCAGGCCGTCCCACAACCAAACAGCTGCCATTGATAACTTTTTACAGAAAAGGAAATGGAGAGCAGTCTGCTGTTGATGTTAGCCTTGCAAGACAACTCTGCAAACACCTCTCCCTTCCGCCCGCTAACTATTTCCAAGCATGTATGCAGCCTCAAATGCCAGGTGGAGGAGAGGGTGAGAGCACCTCAATCTGCTATTCTGAATGCTAATCAGTGCGGATCCTTGCACTGCACAGATCACTTGCTGCTCCCTACCCCTTCCTGGCACAGTCCCCTGGGACAGCGTGCAGCACCACAGACAGTCCCATTGGCAGGCATCTCCTGGAGCACCCCTGCACGAAGCAGCTTCCCTTGGGAATCACTGAGGCATCCATCCTCCAGCTGCAAGGGTCTGTTCTTCATCCCAGCAGGCTGGGTATCCAGCAGTTGCCAACAGGAACCGCAGTCGAGCTCCCAGGTTTATAGCAAGCATGCTGCATGGGGTGGTGAGCCCCCACATGAGGGAGCCGTGCTCTGCTGTGATGCCTCCGACAGGAACTAGGTCAGAAAAGGAAAAGGGAACACTTGCTTGATTTGCATACCAGCCTCCTTAGTGGGAGTCTGGATTATGCAGGAGGTAAAGCTGGTAAACTCTGCCTCCCCTCTCCCCAAAATGTTCCACGCTGTAGGAAACCGTTCCAGCCTTGTGTCTAGGCCAGGGGCCTGGGCCGGGGGGAACTTCTACACCAAAATAAAGGAGCAGGTTTTGTACAGCTGATTCTCTTTGCAACAGCCACCCTATAACAAGTTTTTACCCCCAAGCCAAGCACCTCAATCAAATTTGAGAAGGGTAACAGGATCTTTTCTCATCATACTGCAGTGTAACTTGGGCATCACAAGGCGAATATCATCAGTTTTCCCTCTCCTCTTCCAGAAAAGACGACTCAGAGCCACTAAATTGACACTTGTAGGCTGCCCCCTCCTGATAAAGCTTCCGTCCCTGATAGCAGTCCTCCAGGATATTTCCCGGCACATGAAGTTCAACGCAGATATGTGCACTGCTAGTGCTTCTCAATAGCAATGCTTTCGAGAGGAGGTTTCCTTTCTGTATGAATGAATCAGCCCTGCTCTCCCAGGACAGACGTGGGATGCAGTGAGGGGGTGGCAGACATAATCTGCTGTGACAGACAGCGGCTTGCAGAGAAAGTAGAAGTTCAGAGGACTTGGTGGGGTGGCTGAGACTGAGCTGCATCTTGCCAGGGAGATGAAAAGATTACATAGATGCAACATTAGGGAAGCCACAAAATCTGTGTCAGAAAAGAGAACAACAGAGCAACAGAAGGGGGGTAAGCTGCCATTGATTTTTTGGTTTGGATCTGGAGGCTGGCAAAGTAAACAGGCCAGTCAAGGCAGTGACAGTGTGAACACTTTGTGCATGCTGGCCAAGGACCAGGTGAAGGGGTAGCCAGGACAGATTTACATCCTCCTCTTCATCCTGAAGGGGAACATTGAATTCCACCTCTGCTGCCTTCTTGCTATGTGCAATTTGCAGCTGCCAACCTATAACAATGCAGGCAGCAACTGGTCCTGGTTTGGCAGGGAATAAAAGCAAGGAACTTCTGCATTTACAGTTAGGATGGATCCAGCAGCAAATTTGGGAAAGGCAGGAAGCCTACTGCTAAATACCATCTCTTCCTGGCCTTGTTTCTCAGAGTACAGACACGCTCCTGTGAGCTAAATGAGGGTGCAAAGGAGACATATGGCTGCTTGGCTGTAGCTGCCTACATGCACGCTCCTGTGTTGCAATAGCACAGAGGTATCTGAGGTAGCTCGTCTCACCATGCAAGAGAGTTAAGCTACCTCTCAGTTTCCAGGGGGAAAGGAAACAAGTGTGAGCAGGCTCCACTTTGTCAGTCCCTGTCCAAGCCATGACCATAGGAACAAGTTTGCATGTTTACAACCTTCTTGACCAGGCTTCACAACTTGCTTCAAAGACAAGAATCTTGACTCACTTCCCCTCGGTCTCCTCCCTTGGTTATTAACCAATTCTTTTTTTTGCTTTCCAAGACTCACTCCAAAAGGCATTCAACAGGGCAGAGTAAAAATCTTATCAGACTTAGCCCAGGTCATCAACATTAATGGAACAGAGTTTTCACTACAGAGAAGGCTGCACAGCCTCGCTGCCAAGAAGAAACCCTGACATAGCGATAACAACAGTGGCTTTCTCCATCCTCAGGCTGGTTATAAAATATAAAGAAAGCATACTTAGAAACAAAATGTATCCGATCACATGCTAAGCAGAGTTAAAGTGCTCTGAGGGCTCAGAAATAAACATCCTGAGGCTGGTGATTCACTGGTGGGCAGGACAGTCCCCACCATGTTGCTCCAATGGACGATCAAAGTCAATTCTGAGCACTGAGAGGAGGACTGGGCAGGAAGAGCTGGCCCAGTCCAAGGGAGGTTTGCTGGTGCAACCAGTAATTAAAATTGAGCCAGCCTGTAAGAGGGAAAGGGGAAAGCAGTGGCCTTTTCCCAGCATCTGAGTGTTTCATTTCACCCCTCTGTGTAAGGCTTTAGTATTAGCATCATATATCACTGAGTAAGTACCTCCTGCAAGGTTAAATGATGATGCTCTCTCAAACAATTTGCCCATTGGCTTGCAGGTCAGCCAATCAGAATCACAGCTCCATGGCAACAGCCTCTATCACTAGGAGCAACCAGACAAGTTTGGGGGGTGATTTA